TCTCTTCACTCTGTTGGTGGTTTCTCTTATTGTGCAGAAGCTTTCTAATAAGATGAGATACCAGTTGTTGATTATTTGTGCTAGTTCACATGCGACTGAGGTTTTGTTTATAAAGTCTTTTCCTACACCAATGTCTTCAAGAGTTCTATCTAACCTATCTTCTAGCAGGTTTAGTGTTTCTACTTTAATATTTAGATCTTTGATCCATTTCGACCTTAGTGTAGTGCAGTGACATAGTGGTTAACACCCTGAGTTTTACAGACCCAAGTCCCAAACAACACTATCAGTTCCTCTGATACAGGCTCTGTCTTCATAATGCTTCACTGTAAAGTCTTTGTTTCTCTCTACTATCCACTTAATCTCCCTTATCTATCTTCAAGATTCTTCTTCTAATTTTGCTAACAGTTACAATTCACGTAAAAATATTATAGAAAAATATACCCAGAAGTAGTACATTATATTTACAAGATTTCACAAAAGACATATAGTTGAGAAGATTTTGTTTGTTTGGTTTTGGGTTTTTGTTAGTTAATAGGATTAGTATTAAGATATGGCTTACATAGATCAAAATTATTTCACACAGTTTTTGTTGTATGATCACAAAATCATCCTTTATGTAGTCCTCAAAGGGGCAGAGTTGGATTTTGAACATAAAGCTGATGATAGGCAAAAGGGAATAAAAGAAATTAATACCAGAAATTAATTTTTAGAAGAAATTATCTCCCAGGGATGCAAGGATGGTTCAACATTTATAAATCAATAAATGTAATACACTATATTAACAGAACCAAGGACAAAAACCATATGATCATCTCAATAGATGCCGAAAAGGCATTTGACAAAATCCAACTTCCATTCATGATAGAAACACTACAGAAAATTGGAATAGGTCTTTATCTCAACCTGATTAAGGCTATCTCTGAAAAACCAACAGCCAACATCATACTAAATGGTCAAAAACCGAAAACTTTCATGCTAAAATGAGGAACAAGACAAGGATGCCCACTATCACCACTCCTGTTCAATACAGTTCTGGAAACATTAGCCACAGCAATTAGAAAAGAGAAAGAAATAAAAG